GCCCGTCATACCTGACTGAGGATGTGGAGGACGCCGTTGGTGGCCAGGAGGTCTGCCACGTCCACACTGGCATTCTGCACCCAGACCCTCTGGAAGGTGGCGGGCAGAGCTCAACCACAGGGGCACAGACGGACACTCGAGAGCCGGGCAGCCCCAGTGAAGGCTGCAGGCACACGGGCACCTGCTGGTTGCCCTGCCCAGCCTAGGGGCTGTGTCCCACGCACAAGCCCATGCTCCCTCCACGGCCTGTTCTAGGCCTGGCCATGGCTGCTCCGACCTGACACGCTGCTGCTCAGGACCCCCCACAGGCCCGTAACTGGAGGGACGGCGGGCACACGGAGATGCCCATGGACAGACAACCCCCGCAGGGCAGCCACCCCGGGCCTGAGACACAAAGATGGACAGACAACCAACGCAGGGCAGCCACCCCGGGCCTGAGACACAAGGCCCATCTGCGATGTGTCCTGAGCCCAACTCTGGGCAGGGCAAGGGGTCCGCAGCCTCATCGTTGTGGCTCGAGCCCCCACACACCCTGCTGTCCCCTCCCCGGCCCAGAGCCCTGCACACACCCCACTGATGTTGCGAATCGTCCAGCATGTGGTGGGGCTCAGGGTGGCAGCATCCCGCCCGCCCATCCTGGCCAGTTCCTCTTCGGAGAGGGCACCCTGCAGAAAGTGGGCCCTGAGGGACACAGTGGGTTGGGGGTCGTGGAATCTGGTCAGTGTCATCTACAGAGAGCCCCTGAGACCAGGCCTCAAGCTCCCTCCCGTGGCCCAGCCTGGCCCAGCCAGGGCTACCCACCTGACCAGCTCCGGCAGCCTCCGCGGCTGCAGCCAGAAGGCTCGGTTGTCGGGGCTCAGCCTCTGGATGGCAGCCTCGGAGGGCACCAGGGCGGTGACCCGGCTGTTGTTTGGAAGTACAATGCCGGCATCCTGTGTGTATGGGGAATGACAATTTGCCATCATTGAGGTCACCGGCCCCCTCCAGACCTGGAGAAGTTATGGGGCGCCCCTGGACACCACGTGACTCTCCTGGCTGTGGCCCACCCCAGCACTCTGCCCTGTCCTACCTTAAACCACTGGTAGAAGGCAGAGAAGTGGGCGTTCGCCTCCAGCTCCTAAGTGGAGGGAGGAAGGTAGCTTAGCGCTAGAGGAGGCAGAAGCCCCTCCCGCCCAGGACCTGAGCGCTCACAGAGCTGAGAGGGCAGAGGAGATGCCCGAGACCCCTTACCCTGGTGATGTCTCCGTAGCAGCTCAGGCCATCACCCCCGAAGCCGGGGGGACAAGTGCAGGTCCGCTGGCCTCCCCCCACTGCTTGGCAGGTGGCCTGCAGGGCAGGGGGGCGGGCAGGGCAGAGACGGGCCCTCCGTTTAGCACACACATGGCCCACCGGACACCAGCCGCCCTGCTCTACCACCTCTGGCTGCAGCCATTCCATCTGCCTCAGGGAGGAGCTCCCCTGGGGCGCCTAGCCCTGCCCGCCAAGATCCCTGGGCAGCAGACAGGAGAATTACCCCACCCATGGTGAGGCCGGTGTGGCGGGGCAGGACTGAGGGAGTTACCCAGGCTGGAGGGCAGACTAAGGAGGCAGAGGTGTGGCATGTGGAGCAGAGAGGTCAGGAGACTGCAAGCAGCTCCCAGTGGCTAGAGGAGCAGGGAATGGGGGCAGTGGTGCATGATGGGAGAGCAGAGATGGAAGGCTAGTTGGGGGCTGGGGCTGAACTCTTGCAGGGCCTGGGGTCTTAATGAGGAGGCCAGAGGCTTTATCCTGCTCAGGGGATAAGGGAGGGACGTGGCTGGGTAGCAGGAGACAGAGACACCCAGGAAGTGGGAGAGAAAGATTCCTGAAGCCCAGTCCCACCCTGAGAGCGTCCCCAGGGCTCTGGGCCCTCATGGCCCCTTACCAGGTCATGGCAGCCGCCATTGCCAGCCCGGCAGGGGTCGATGGGGCTGCACTGGATACCGTCCCCCGCGAAGCCCAGCTTGCAGGTGCACCGACTCTGGAGAGGGTGGGGCAGAGGGCCTCGTGTCACCGTGAAAGTCCAACCCTGTCCTGCACACCTTGGCTCTGGCTGGGCACTGCGTCCCGGGGAGGCTTGCCTGGACCCCAGAGGAGCTCTTCCCGGCCCCGCTCTTGGAGAGCTGTGTTCTGGATGGGGAGTCTGAGGCCCTGAGTCCCAGGAAGTGAAGGCATAGGCAGGGGAGCAGCCACAGGGACAGGACGCATGCATCGGGACCTGCCAAGCTGAGGCCAGCAGCCCATGGCCTGTGGCTAGGTGTCGGCTGAGGCCAGCCCTGGGATGGCAGCTCAGAGCCTCCCCAGCCTGCCACCTGCTCAGCTGCTCCAGGCCTCCAGTAATGCCAGTTTCCTTGGGCTCGTCTGTACTGCAGGGGCGTGACGGGTGGGACCCCCATGTCTCAGCTGCCATTCTTTGCAAGTAGGAGGTGTCCCAATCTGTTTATCCAAAAACCTCAGTTCTGAATTTTAAGGCTCCAACTGGGATTAGAAGGCCCTGTGCTCACTGCTAAGGCTGACAGGCTGTTGGCCAGGGGCCGGGGAGCTGGGTGGACTGGGAGCTCTCTGTGCCTGAACAGGCCTGGGCCATGCAGAGGCTGACTCTGTCCCCACGGAGCCTCGAATCTGAGTTCAGATGCTAAGTTTTGCAGCTCCCGGGCTCAGAACAGGAACACATGCTGGTCACGTGGGAGCCACTGTGTCAACTAGTCCCAGAGGGCGGGAGTCCCACCTGCCTGGAGCTCTGGCTCTTGAAGTGGCTGTTTTGGAGTCAGGGCAGGGGGACAAGGGAGAGTCCCCCAAAACCAAGTCCCCCCGCAAGCCCACTCTGCTGTCCCTGAGCCTGCTGCTCACCTGCCCAGGGCCCACGTAGCTGCAGAGGGCGTCGGCATGGCAGCCACCCCGCGTGTCCAGCTCACACTCATCAATGGCCACACAGGCGCGGCCATCTCCACTCCAACCTTTGTGGCACGTGCAGAGGTGGGTGCCCAGGGCCCCAGGGACACACTCAGCCTGTGAGAGCCACAGACAGGTGACTCAGGGTCACAGGCAGAGGGTCGGGGGTCCCACCTCCTGGTCCCGGGTCATAACTTCGGGGAAAGGGCACAGGGACTGACGTTTTCTGAGCAGCCGCCACGGTCCGGGCGGGAGCAGGGGTTGCTGTGCGTGCAGGAGAAGCCATCGCCCTCGAAGCCATCGAGACAGACACACCTGGGGTGAGTGAAGGCGGGGCTGCCAGTGAGCTCTGGAAGAGGCTAGCGGTGCGAGACCACGGAGACGAGACCATGGAGACGGGGCAGAGGACGCTGAGTGCTCACCTGGAAACACCCCCCTGGCTAACACAGCTGGCGTGCTGGTGACAGCGCCGGGCCAGCCCTGTGGGTCCACAGTCGCCAACAGACTCGTTGCAGAAGCGGCCGCTGAAGCCAGGAGCACACGTGCCCTGCTGGCACACCCCTCCACTGCCCGGACGGTTGTCACATAGACCATGAACACAGCCGCAGTCTGCAGGGGGAAGACCCGACCGAGGAAACGGAGGCAGGGCTAGCTGGGAGCCAGGGTGCGTTTAGGGGTGGACTGGGAATGGGGCAAACAGTACAGATTTGACTTCAGGGTCACAAGATCAAAGGTCATCCCGGAACAGGTGGCAGACAGATGAAATGCAGGGGAGGAATTCCGAGCTTTTAATCACCCCGTTCTAGCCATCCTGCCCCTCGCACCACCACAGAGAAATTCTTCAGTGTGTTTGAGCAAAATCCCGCCTGCTTTAGGGTAAGCCAGGCTTCTCTTTCTAGCACGGGTGAAGGAGACAAGGTCGATTTCTGTGACCAAACCTTCCTCCATTTCTCTGACCTTCACCCCTCCTCCTGGGGCTCTGTTTCCCTTCTTAGAAGTCCCAACTCCCCCCCTTTTTTTAAAAGAATTATTTTATTTATTATTATTTTCTTTCTTTTTTTAAGGAATTATTTATTTATTTAATTCCATTTATTATTATTATTATTTTTTAAATTTGACCAGAGAGAGACAGAGAGAGGGAAACAGAAAGGGAGAAGGAAAGCTGCCAGGTCCGGGACTCAAACCATGGTCAGCCATGTGGGAATCCAGCGCCTTTAACCACCATGCCACCGGCTGGCCCCTTATTGTTTTCTTTCCGATTTGTTATAGGTCACATGCACTCACCAGAGAGGGGAAAGTGAGAAAGCAAGCTGCCGGGTCTGGAACTCACAGCACAGTCGGCCAGGTGGGAGTCCAGCACCTTAACCACGCCCGCCACCTGCTGGCCCCGCAAGCCCCCTTCCTAATGGAGCAGGCTTAGGCGAGGAGCACGTACCTTCCTGGCACTGGTCCCCATGCTTGTTTGGGTTGGAGCAGATGTGGCAGGCAATGCCCTTGTAGTCTGGGAAGCACTGGCAGGCCCCGTTGCCTCGGACCCCATCACTGCACTGGAGGGCAGGCAGGAAGCGGCATCAGTCACAGGAAAGAGACCTTCCACATCTCCCCAGGAGCTGACTCGACTCCCGCTGCTCACAAGAGCTCAGCCCCTGAAGGGACTTTTGAAATCACTGACATTGCTGAAGAATTAGCCCCCCAAAGGCACCCGGCCCTGGAGGCTGCATGGGTGACTTCTGCCCGGCTTAGAAATACATCACTCCTGTGCTCCCCCATAGCCAGGTGCTAAAGTCACTCTGATGTCAGAAAGTGGCACAAACAGGACACGAAAGACAATGACCAAATGATCTTTTTAGAAATAGATGCAAAAATAAAATGAATTATTTCCAAATAAGTAAAATATTAGTAAATCCAGCCAGATTGCACAGTGGTTGAGGTGGCCCACTACAAAGTTCAAGTCTCAGACTCAGGGACTTGAAAAACACACTGGGTACGTGTGCATGCGTGCCCAAAATCCTGCGAGGAGAACGGAGGAGGAGGGATGGTGGTGCGTCCGGCTGCCTGGGGGCAGGCCTTTTTATTTATTTATTTTTTTGGAGAGGTTTTTCGCTATAGGGCGCGTGCACTCGCCAGACAGACAGAGAGAGACAGAGAGACAGAAAGCGAGAAATCCCCCCCCAGGGGGGATGGCCCCGCCGCAATTCCTTCTCCTCCATTCTCCTCTCGGGATCTTGGGCATGGACACACACGCGCCCGGCGTGAGTTCTAAGCCACCGGGTCCGGGACCCGAACCGCGGTCGACTACGTGGGAGTCCAGCAGCATAGCCATTACGCTAACTGCTGGTTCCCAGCGCAGTCCTTTTTTACTTTCTCTTTCTATCTGTCTCTCTAGCAAACACATATGCCCTAGAGCAAATGAAAATAAAAAATAAAAAATAATTTGGTCTAATTTCCACTGTTAGATCTGAGGAACCTAGGGACAGAGAGAGCCACACCTGGCTGGGACACAGCCAGCACTGGCCACTGTGGTTCGAATGTGTCCCCCCAAATACAGGTGTTGGAATTTGGAAGAGGAGACTTGGCCAGGTTATGGGATTGAAACGCAGGACCTTTGAAAAGTGAGTAGACACCAGAGTGGGGCTCCCATCGTGGCGTCCTGCTGGCATTATAAGGAGAGGGAATGAGAAGACACATGGTCATAGACACTCATGCTCCTGGGGACCAGCAGTTGGCACAATAGCTACGTCGCTGAACTCCCATGTAGTCAACCACAGTTCGAATCCCAGACCTGGTGGCTTAAACTCATGCCAGGCACGTGTTCATGCGTGCCCAAGATCCCGAGAGGAGAATGGAGGAGAAGGGATTGTGGCATGGTCATCCTCCTGGGGGGTGATTTCTCACTTTCTGTCTCTCTGTCTCTCTCTGTCTTTCTGGTGAGAACACACACCCTATAGCAAAAACCTCTCAAAAAAAGACACTCATGCTCCTTCTCTGTCCTGCCTCGTGATCCATCAATAAGACCCTCACCCGACCCGGTGTGCTGAATAAACCTTTTTTCTTTTAATTTTTTTTTTAAAGTTTTGTTACAGAGCATGTGTCCTCACCAGAAAGAGAGAAAGTGAAAAGCACCCCGCAGGGGGAATGGCCAAGCCACAATCCCTTCTCCTCCATTCTCCACTCAGGATTTTGGGCACGGATGCACGTGCACCTGGAGTGATTTTCAACCTGCCAGGTCTGGGACTCGAACCGCAGTGGGCCATGTGGGATCCTGCCACCTTCACCACAGCACCACATGGCTGGCCCTATACTTCCTTTCTCATGAATCACCCAGACAGATATGCTCTGTTACTAGCCAGAGGATGGACTGCAACACCAGCCGACTCGGCAGGAGCCCGCGCCTCCCCACCCTCACTCCAGGGGAGGACAGACTCACGTTGCCTTTGCCATAGCAGGGGTCGGAGAAGCCCCCGGGACACTGCGCGCAGTCAGGCCCGAAGAAACCTTTGCAGCAGCCACGTTTCTGGAAGAAACAGCACATCTGAGGGTCCGTCCAGGGCCACCTGTCCCTGCTCAGGCTGCTTGTGCTCCCTGGTCCCATCCCGAGATGGGGGGAGGTATGTGTCCTCGGAAACGCCGTCAGGAAGAAGCACGCAGTCCGTGCCCAAGCTCCCGGCACGGGGGCCACGCCCAGGCTCACCACGATGGTCTGGTTGCAGAAGTGGGCGCAGCCCTTCTTCAGCACGTTGAGCCCAGTGGGGTCATGGATGTAGACGCACTCCTTGGGCAAGATGTCCTGGTGAGCACACAAGCCGATCAGCAGGAGTGGGTCTAAGGGCACCCTCTGCCAGGCAGCCCCGACCCCAGCACTCCCGGCCTCAGCGGGGCAGTGAAGCACAGGGCCCCCAGGTCTGGCTGAGCCTCCCAGCTCCCACTCGCCACCGTGACCCATGGCGGAAGCTTGGCGGGCTGGGCCGAGGGCTGCTCACCAGCTTAATGCTGTCCGGGGGGCACGTGCTGGTGTTCAGGACATGGCAGTCCACGCAAGAGCCCTGGCAGGGCAGGGGGAGGAGGGGGGAGGGCTGAGAAAGTGACACCGAGCTGAGACCCAAGGGCTGACAAAGAGCTAACTATGGGAGGGCCACGGGCTGGCGCTCCGGACAGAGCAGGAGGAAGATGGGCAAAGGCCCTGGGGTTGGAAGGGCAGGGCAGGGAGTCCAGGGGCAGGAATGGAGTGAGTGAATCATAGGCTCCGTGGCAGGGCAGCTGGGGACAGAGGGGGGCGGAGGAGGCACGAGCCCCGACGGCAGAGCTCATGGGGCTGCATCGGCCGCAGTTCTGTGCTGGGGCTCACCGGCACCACCTCGTGCTGCTCCTCGTCACAGTGCTTGGGCAGGATGGGCAGGATGGTCGGGGGCAGCAGGATGCCCTCCAGCAGGTGGAGCACACCGTTGGCAGCTGGCAAGTCCACTCTCCGAATAGGGACCCCCTCAGGTCCCAGCAGGATCCGCCCCTGTGGCAGAGACCACCATGCCACCCCCTCGGCAGCTCAGCTGGAGCCGCGTGGCTCCGAGTGATGGGGAAGGCCCGGGGCCATGCCATCCGCCTTCCAGCCTCCAGGTGGAACTCCCATAGTGTCTGCTATGCATGGCTGTGCCGCTGTGTGCATCGCTCCTCCTCCTCCTGGGAGCCCTTCTGCCTCAGTGGGCTTCAGGAGGGGAATCTGATCTCCACCTGCTTCCCACATGACGCCCTCCGGGGCTGAGCACAGCGCCCAGCCCGCCATGGGGCTCAGAGCTTGTGAGCGGGTCTGGAAGAGGCTGATGACTGGCCAGTCATTAGCAGCCCGAC